ACACACACACACACACACACACACACACACACACACACACACACACACTCACACACACAAACAGACACTCACACAAATAAAAAGAACCCAAAAAAATAATACTGATGATTGAAAATTATGTTATTTATCTTTTTCAAATGGGAAAGTGGCAGCGGGAAAAATTGAGCCAAGAAAGAAACAAGGGACATCACCAACTGAACAAAACGACCTTTGACTGAGGTCCGTCCTCATTAAAAACCTGGAAACAGATTATCAAGGTAACGCCCAAAATTGGCTCTGCCGCGTGGCAAAGCAGAAAAAGAGGACAAACAGTGGACTTGACAAACCAGAAGAAGAAGAAAAAAAATGACGATAAGCATGATTATTTAGAAAGAAAAAAGTTAACACAATCAAACAAAAGTAAAACGGTAAATATGACAAGGCAACTTGATAAAACAAAAAAGAAAAGTAGGCATAGTAAAACAGAAAAACAACAGTAAAAACAAAATATTATATATATAAAAGAACAGAAAACGGGATAAAAACAATTTAAAGAAAGATCAGTAATGTAAATACTGTATGATAAAACAACAGAAGAAAAGGTTATGATTAGCTGAACTGAAAAAGAATAGTAGATTCTAAATGAGAGAAAGCAGAAGGAGAGAGAAAAAACAATAAACACGATAAAGCAGAAACAGAAAAAATAGTAGATTCTAGGCTGTACCGGTGATTAAGCCGAAGAAAAACATTTAACGAGATAAAAACAGAAGAAGAGGAGATCTTAAGAGGACATCAAACGTGATAAAGTAGAGGAAGAGATGAGGAACGTGTGGTAAAGCAGAATTACCTCGAAGAAGAGCATAATAAAAAAAGGAGAAGAAGGATCGAGAGTCGAGAGTAAACAGGGATAAAACACAGAGAAACATTTGAAGATAAAGATTGTAATCATGAAACCATAATACATGTACCTTGTATTATTATATTGTTATTGAGAGCATTGGTATCAGCTGTTAAACATGGACGGAAAGGTAAAAAAAAATGTTTTTGCAAAACGGGGGACAGGGGTCTGGCTTTGCCTATTAGATCGATTTCATACAATCAGTCGTTGCGCATTATTTTAATATTCAATATGTATTGAATTTTAAAAAAAATTTTTTTGATTTTTTAAGTCTTCTCGGGTCAAGGGAGATAACAACATTAATTAGATTTTGAGCTTTTAAGTTAAAAACTGGTGACCTCATGAATTTGTATTTCGTCCAATATCTTGTTATTGTTGTTATTGCTGTTGTTGTTGTTGTTGTTGTTGTTGATTATCGACATTTTCTCAGCTAAAGGGAGAAATTCGGATCAATGCAATTTTGAATAAAATTTATTCACCATCACTCTTCTTAAAGTTGTTGTTGCTGTTGTTGGTTTTATTACTGTTTTTATTTCGGGGGCGGTTCGTTTTGTTTTGTTTTTTGTTTCTCTCTCCCTCTCTCTCTCTCTCTCTCTCTCTCTCTCTCTCTCTCTCTCTCCATCCTCCCCCTCTCTCTTGCTCTCTCTCTCTCCATCCTCCCCCTCTCTCTTTATGGTGTTGTTTTTTACTTAATTTAGTCTGAGTTTTTTCGTCGATGGCAAATCGTACCAAACTAAACAAAAAAGAAACACTAGAGAGAGTGCCGAGGATTAGAGGTGTTACAAGAGAGTAACAAGCACAAAAAAGGAAGAGAGGTGAGGACGATAGATGCTTGATAGGAAAGAACTTAAAAATTGAGTCTGGTGTTCATTTTGATTGCACAGTTTTTGGCAACTGACCATAAATGATAATTATATTAATATGTACAATTACGAACGCACTTTGCTCCGACCTGACAGGGTTTTTTTTTTTTTGTTTGTTTGTTTTGGTGTTGATTGAGATAATGGAGATTTTTGTTGCTAGAGATAATATAGAGGTTAAAAGGAACGATACGTCAACTGTGACCGTCCTTGCCAAGTTCACGGTTCACGCACGGCCTAACCACGGGGGCAAAGGAATGGCGTGGAGATGTAGTCAGGGGACGCTAAGCAGAAAGAGCCTAGCGCTGACAAAAAGAAAAGATAAAAGGAAATAGAAATCTTAATGCAAGTGTGTACTTCTCATTCTCTGTCTGTCTGTCTGTCTGTCTGTCTGTCTGTCTGTCTGTCTGTCTGTCTGTCTGTTTCTTCTCTCTCTCTCTCTCTCTTTCTCTTTCTCTTTCTCTCTCTTTTAATTTTGTGGGTGGTTGACGGATGCTCTGGTTTGGTTTTCTACGTCTTTTTCTATAGTTCAAACGCATACATAATATTATTATTCTATCTTCCCTTTTATCTCTCCTCCTCCTTTTTTGTGTGTGTTTATTAGTTTCGTGTAACTCATCTATTCCTAATCTTCGGCACTAATTTAATCGCCCGTCCTTCTGTCTGTCTGTCTGTCTGTCTGTCTGTCTCTGTCTGTTTTTCTGTCTGTCCCGTCATCCGTCCGTCTGTCTGTTTGTCTGTCTCTCTACCTCCTCCCTCCCTCCCCCCTGTCTATCTACCCCCTCCCCTTCCTC